GCATCGTATATAGGTGCATTCTCATTCAAATTTCAAATCTAATTCTTAAGCTTCCCCACAGTGAAATTTGTATATGTACATAGGACTTGTTGAAATGCTTTCATATGCGTTTCTGAATGAAAAAAATGAATTTCCCGGTAGTGAGTAAAATGATTCAGGAAGTACCACAACTAATTATATAGAGCATGTGCTCAAACCTATATCATAGTCGACACTGCTCGGGTCTATTTATGGTCATTAATTCAATTCAGTAAAATAGACCGAAACTTTGAACGCCCCCGTCAACGCTCCTTACGATGTTTTAGGCTTAATAGCTCCGACGGTCAACGCGTCATTAATAAGGTACGGTTGATTCGGCCAGTACAATTCAAAACGCTAGAAATATACTGCAGTCCTAAGTTCGCTTGCCTTTCTTCAGAGCTCCGATTCTAGTGAAATTGTTCCGTGCATCTCAAATGCCTGGAGCCGTCAAATTTCCGTTGCATTCCGGTGCGTCAGTGCTTGTTACAGACGTTATTTGAATTTGCAAAAGTATCTGTTTGCTTGGAATGAAGTGACATTTTCGTGACGGATAGGTCGGAAACGATAAAACGGAAGAATCGAGGCTAAATTACAAAACTGAAAAAGCGGTTCGACCTAAACCAGCTTTAGCTAGTTATAAATCGTATTCCATAATCACCAATCGATCGTTAACAATAACCCAGTTCGCAGTGAAGAGTTGAACTTACGTGGAAGGCTGTCAGCCGGCTGACAAAAAGTAGCCTTGTTCAAACTTAACCCTTTAAAGAACTACTTTGGTAGCTTATATGCGATACGTCCATTATTCTGATTGATACAAGCGGTGATTATCAGACACCACAAACTTGGGTCTGCGGGTCAAGGTTGAAGTACGATTTTATTGTCCGGCAAGGGCACTTGATCTGTGCAGTCAGATAGGTTATTAGTAGGGCATATGAGCCTAGAACAAGTCCGGTCGTTTACTTCCGTGTCAACCAAATATACATCTCAGCCCTTGAACCTTGCCGCAGTGAACCCAACTATCAGAAAAGTATTATAGGAAAAAGATTGTATGACGCGCGTATCCAGTTATCAGCGTCATCATCGCATCCGAATATAAAGATTGCATTGTAATTTTGTTTAGACGCCCACTTGTTAAATAAATTTTTGCTTAGTTTGCGGTACCTGATTTTATATATATTTATATGTAGAATCAGGTACGCAATTGTGTAGACGGCCAGCTCGGACTGTTAACTGTTTCATTTCTATGCATAAACTGCGTATTATGCTGTACGATTGGATCAATTCAGGTACACTATTTGGGCTAGCGTTGGAGGCTATTCGCCATTCTCGATTACGAGACACAAAATGAATAGCAGTAATTAGTACGAGTGGATCTCAGCGGGGACAGTATCTCGATCGGCAGGATAATACGGACGAACTAAGCATATTTATGCCCTAGATAGCCAACGCTATGTATAAACGTAGACATGTGGTATAATTCACCGATTGTTTCTCCGACGGCCGTAGTTCATCTTATACCTTAGCTAATAAATGCCTGTCCGATAGCTAAGCTACGTGGAAGGTCGCTTGGTCCGGTCGGTAAACGGGATCGGTAGCCTATTAGCTATCCACCATCTGGACTAACCGGCTCAATTATAAATAGTTCCGTAATAATAACAGAAGAAAAAAGCTAGCCCATTTATAATGGTAACTGCTACTGCTATCGTGACCACCGTTTGGGGACCAAACGAGCATATGCCTCGGGCGTACGCGAACGCCACAGAGGTTTTAACGTAATACCTTAAAGCAATTCGGATATAGGCTACAAGCGAGCTAGGTTTATCTTGCCAAAGAAGACCTGACCCGCGTCGCATTCTATCTGGTAGATGAACGAATGAGTTTTTTTTATAGTGGCGTAATAAAATGGTGGTTTTTACAATTTAGACAGGGTGCCGTGAGACGACTCAACCAGTGACAACCGCGACAACGGTGTGGCGGAGTGTAGAACCGTTTTGAATGGCCGCTAAACAAATTTTCTAATTAGAAATCAGCTAATCATCCTAGCAGAAGGGAGACGTCAAGTAGCTATGTGTAGAAATCACGTGCAGTCGTCACAGACCTGAATCACTATGCGAAATGGTAATTTACATAAAATATTAAGTAGCAATACTTCTTCAGCTAAACTTGATTTCAAGAACGGACGTGCGTTATAAGCTTAATAAAAAGAGACTGCTTCTTCGACCGGCAGAGGGGTAACAAATTTTTCAGAGTGGTGCAATGGGTGTCGTTCCAAATTCGATACTCGAAACCTTCTACGCTATCATTCAGCAGTCCGCTTCAAACAAACCATACAAGGACAAATGTCGTTCGAGTTACAATAACACATCGTTGCCGTTATTCTGTCTTCTGTGCATCGCTTCTCTCCCTATGCTCTTCGAAGCGTGAGTTGAGCTAACATTGTTGGTTCTTCCATGGTCGTCCAAATCATACAACTTCGTAGCAATCTCAGCTGCAACGGAAAGCGTAAGTTTAATGTACAGACTGTTCCATTTTCCACGTACGCACCTCGTTATTTATGTGTCATCCGTGTGTCAGTGGCGTAGACTTAGTGGCATAAGTCACTTTTGTCCGAGGAGTCTCGTGTCCTCCTTTCGGCAACAGCCATGGACAGCTGCTTGCTATTTCTGCAGGTTTTCATCGTCTGCTGTTGGACAATAGTAGAAGCTACGAGGATGGAGCTCATGGTTGGAAGCGGGTCGGGGGTGAAGGAGAAGCCATTGGCGCCAAACTTTTAAACTGCTCACAGCTGGAGTAGTCAGAGTAACGGCAGCAATAGGATGTCCTTTCCCAATGCCATTTCCGGTTTGATCTGGATTGAGGCGGAGTGGCGGACCAGTAGGAAGGAGGGGTAGATGCTACGCTCGTTGTTTGTGCAGCAGTAGTAGCAAGTAAGAAGGGTAAAAATTTGAAAATACAAGTTCGACGCTTCAGAAAATGGGAAAACTGAACGACGCAAGGGCTTGCTGAGGATAGCCGCGGGGCCGTAAGTGCCGAGCCATTGGCAATTCAAAACAACGACAAATCGGTAGAGGGCAAGCATTGTTGTGAGATCGAGCCAGCTGTCCGATCCGACCCTTTTTTTTTCTCCTTAAATGATGATCTTTATATCATACCGTATTCTTATTGTTTAGTTTGACGATTGGGCTTGTTTTTTATGGGCGTCAGGACCTGTGCAGCTATGAAATTTTCAACCGATTCCCTGCAAATTCTCGAATGTCAGACCAAGACTAATTGAACCTTTCAGGACACATCTTTGTGGAAACATTAGCTATACGTATTTAATAATAAGGAAAATATGAATAAGGTAATTTTGACCTTACTAAGGATGACGGCAGAGGGCACTCAGTGGCCTGCATATTTTGGCAATCACCGAATAGCTCTGTCTAAATATGCACACATACATATGCAAGTGAAAGTCCGGATGACGTTAGCACATCATAGGGATGCGCTCCTGCTGTTTCCCAAATTCATTATTTAGAAGCATACACATCTTTTTCGTTCTTGCCTACCTTGTTTGGTCGTTTGCGTCGACCTTTACGAACGTTTGCAGCTATACGATGCACCGCAGGATACACTCTAATGGAATTACTGGTTCTGGTGTGAATACTCTCCACTTCACTCAGCCTGATGCATCTTTGCTGCACATAGATAGAGATGGCCGCGCCATCAGCTTATGACGGAAGAGCGATTCCTGTGATCAACGATTCCGTGATGTCCCGTCGCACTCGCCATCGACAGCATCGGAAAAAAAATAACCAAGAGGTAGCCTCGTGTTCCGACGCCTCTGAGAGACATGTCCTTGCGACAGAGAGAATCTGTCACAAAGGAAGGTTTAGTAAAGATAGCACAGTTTGCAATAAACGTCGCCAGCTTATATTTTGCATTAACGCACACTCGAACCTTGTGTGGGTATGTTATGTCCAATTGAAGATGGAAAGTCTTCTCGCTGCATCCCACCTATGTAGATCTGTTTCGACATGTGTCTCTCAATGATTCGTTCGATATAGTTCTAGAAAGGGCGCGCTCTTGTAATATTGCTGGCAGTTAGAAAAAAAATTTCAGATTCTACCGGTCTCTGATATATGGACGGAAATATATGGGTGACAGGTGTGTTACTCCTTACTTTTTATTACATTGATACTCGATGTATTGGGCGTAACGGTATCGAATGGTTCGCATGGCCCGACTAATCGATGGGCCTTGTCCGTAGTCAGGGTGGACACTGAGCTCGTTCTATTCATTTGACTGCTATATCTATAATGTGAGTATAAAAAAAATTTGAACGAAGTGCTCAGTAGCGTTTGAATAATAGCCAATTCGAAAAAAACCTTCTAACTGATTGATAAAAGATAGCCGTAATGGTATATTGGTGCTGGTCAAGGATTTTCTCCGGAATGATAATGTTGTTTAAAAAAAAAAAAATGTTATTAACCCTTTGCACAAACTGTCGTTAGTGCTTAGCTTGTCTGGAACACTATACGAACTGATATCCACGAATCATATCAATTCCGTTTTGAATTTATTCCTTATTTCAATATTTATTTAACTATATTTAATTTCAAATTATTCAAAAATCCTAATTTGATTGATTCAATAAGGCGATCGATCATGAAATGTCGGTTTCGCAACGTTGTCAGAACGAAAGAGGATTGCATTGCACTGTTCTTAAGTTCTTCAGTGTTCAAGGTTCTTAAGTGAACCATGGCCCTTAGAAATCCTATGGGCTAAAAACAAATTTGGGTTGTTGATCATGATTTTGCAGGCATTATGGGTGAAAATTTAACTAGCTAGCTACATGTTCCCTCTAAGGTAATCGCTTCTCCGTATCCGCAAAGCATTACAGTCTACTGTAATAAATCTAACGGTGGATTTATTCTTCGTTTGACCTAATTGATATACTTGCATATGTATAAATGTGTTTCGCAATGATTCGATTGCAGGTCGCGGTTTTCTGCATGTTCGAGCCGGACAGAACCGACACCGCAAATCAAGCGGCAGTGCCCACCGAGATTCAGACGACCCCCTCGAGTCGGGGGATTTCTGGGCACCCAGCTCCAAGATTCTGCCATCGTTCGATAACTCAACAGCGAGTAACGTTACCAGTCAGCTTGGGGTGACAGCGTATCTGCACTGTCTGGTCAACAACCTCGGCGATAAAACGGTATGATGTCACATAGTTGCGCCTTTCGTTCGCGTTCTCGTCCTCCTCTGTTTAAACAGGTCGAGTATCTGCTGAAACCCCACGTGACTAGCAGTTGGGACCCAGTCATACATGGCAGCACGCTTATTTCTCTATGCAGTGTACACGAACGAGGCAAAATGCCCATGACGTCAATTAATGCAAGGGAGATAAAGACAACGCCAATGTTTATCAACTTTTACTCATGCCACTAACGTGCAGCATGTTGCAAGTGGCCTCGTCACAATGTACGCGGCGCTTGCCGTACTCGTGCATCTATTGAAAATATTCTGTGAGGTGGTAAACAAGTTGTGACTGTAATTACTGCGCGATTATGTTCATTTTACGATATATCAAATATACAGTGTTCAAGCAAATGGGGACGCCGATGTTTTGTACGCCCAGAATTATTAGTATGATTTGTAATGACATAGATACACATGCATTTTCCATTGTGATGCGTAGCTAGTCAATAGCATTTGTTAGCTTGCAGTTGAATCACACACCTGCCTACTATTCTTTATGTCTGACATTTGTGCGTACGTAGGTAGATGATTCCGTGCATACAAAAAACACCTTAATAATTGTAAGTGCCCGTAAACTAAAACAAAACATGAGGTATATAGAAGTCCTATGACCTATAGTTTTCTAGGACAATAATCTTTTGCAGAGATTCATATATTTGTCTTCGACCAGAACTGGACACAGGTGGACAACAAACGCTCTAAACTCTAAATATTCAACTTCACAAAAACATCTCGATGAAACGTTATATCGGTGCTTTTGTGACTATATAGGCCAAAACGATTGCCTACGCGGATCAGGTGCGTTCGATTTGGGCAAGGCTTCTGATTACGCTAATATTCAAGCTTAGGACACAGCGGTCATATTTTGACACCTTACAGATCCTTATTTATTGCAGTAGTATATTAACGTACAGCGCAATGCTCATGTGGTTGACTCGGTATCGCGCCAGCATCTCTTAGGGAACGTTCACTGCAAAAACAGGTCCTATATATAAAGTACATATAATAATATATAATGCGGAAAGGCGAAGAGGAGAATCAAGTCTGACATTAAATTAGCTGGAGACTTTTGGCCGTAGCTGTAGTAATAACATAAGCATACCACAGCACGAAAACTAGATTGCTCGTGCAGAGTAATTCTCTAGTTTACTATTTATAGCTTTTAGCATTCAAGAAAATACCGTGCAGGGCCAACCAATCTCGCTAGAAGTACATATGTGTTACACAAAATGCATGTAAAAAGAACTTCGACGACGAGGACAACACAAAGAACAATATATATATGTCCCGATTAATTCGAGACCTAACTGGTTATTTTTAAGGTATTTATGTAATATGAGAAAAAGGCATTTGTAGTGTTATTATGTAGCATATTAGCATAGCGATATTAGTGAGCGTGCTATATATATATACATAAACGTTTCGACAGAATGAAATCTTGGTCCCATCAAAACAATCAAAAGGTCCCACAATGCAGGGACTCAAAACATCTAAAACACTTAGCAGGAATAAAAAGACTGGCTTTACCCTACTCGACGACTGATATTCTCCTCTCTAAAATGGCGACTCTGATACAGAGTATTAAAAATCCGTGTGTATCTTAAGTTGTTCAAATCTAATAATAATGTATTGAACAATGTCTGGTTTGTCTCATTAAAATCTTATTTTGATTTGTCAGAAGCTGCGTAAAATAATATAGACTGCCTTTTGGGGTAAAGGAAAATTCTTAGTCTAGGCGAGGATTCTCTCAGAGCGGAAGGTTTCGATTATAGCTGATCTGCGCTAAGATACCAAAAACGACGCACTATTTTTACCATAATAAGGTCATTGTTTTATTCTAAACTCCATAATATATTCATTTAAATCATATATTCGAAAATCGGTAAAGAAATTGTCTACTTCTCAGGTGTCTATTATTATAGTCAGAAAGGGTCGCACACGGTGCACAGAAGTATATTTCACGGTCGTTGGTAAAAGATTCTCCTTAGATGAAGCGTCAGGTTTGTAGTAATTCAGTTGATATTTGAACGCCTTTTCTCGATTTTAAGTGTATGTAACACTAAATCTGTTTTTGGTTCCTCTTTGCTTGCGGAGCGCTGTTACTGTGAATAGCTCACTCCTTATCATATGTTCTGTCATACTATAATCGCAAATAAAATAGGTCTATTTCCTTTAGGTTTCAAGGATAAAGCTCGCATATGTTTTGTTCGGCATTATGTTGCTTATTAAACCATACATTTCTCATATGTATGAAGTGCACATGTTTGAGAAGACGTTCTTCCCCAACCTGCATCGGTGCTATACCTCTGCGGTTCCGTGATGCGAGGCAGCTTTTTCAATCGCGTTGCCCGTTTTCCAAGTGACTTTCCCTTCAAGCACTCATTCTCCTGGTTCGCCTCTCAAGCAGGTACGGTTTTACTTACGAGATAGCAGCGATGACTATTATACGTACTGGTGCTCCATCTGATCGGACAGAAACGGGGAAGCTTAAAACGAGAGAAGTCGACGTTCACATACATTTCACTATTTCCACCCTCAGCAGCACTTACACCAGCATTACCACCACGAATTCGTCCGATGCGGCTGCTCATTTGGTCGTTACCTGATTGCGGTCCAATGGCTCCCTCCGCAAGATACTCGGCTGCTTTAGAGGGAGATTAACGCAACGCGGACCACGGACATACTTGAACCAACTAGGAAGAGCTTGAAACGTGGAGGATATTTGGTCGGCTGACAGGGGACAATGCGGCGGTGTCTCACTGGGACTGTGGAACTGTTATGCCAATGACCATTGAGGTGGGCTCTGCAAGGGGGCGTTTTGTCTTAGCCTCGCTCATTGTCTGCTCTTGATTAGATTTAATTCAAGTAGCTTCTACAGCCACTCCATCCACCGTTTCGAGCTGATTTGAACCGCCGTTGAAATAAACGGACAACGCAATAGCACGGGGTGGAAGAGAAAACCGGGAACAGTATGGGAAAGTCAGAAGTAACGTACCTGCAGTCACTAAAAGCGACTGCGTGAAAGTGGGAACGGCAGACGGTGCACAGAGCAAGCTTGAGGGTGGATCTGCAAGTTAGGCTGGATACGAGCTTATCCTTTGAGGTTATGGTACCAGAAGGCCGTGGCATGAAATGCTGCACCCAAATTATACTGTGTTACTAGAGTTTCGAATACAAGTCTCCGTAGTTTCCCTTTGCAAATTTGCAGACGAAGATCTCACCTAATCATTTTATGCTTGGCGCAATGGCTTAAGAAGACAAATAAGAAAGAAGAAAAAAAAAAAAAAGAAAAAAAAAGAAGTAGCCTTAAACACAGATATTAATCTGCGTTTAAGGCTATTTCTTTTTTTCTTTCAATAGAATTCAGAACCTTTCTGGAAGATTCATGTAGTTTTTTTTGGAGTACTAGCAATTGTCAACAATAAAGGCGTTACGAATCTACCTGCGTTGCTAAATTTTCGCGCACCAAATGCAAGAGGGTTGAACATCAAATATACCAAAGAGCGACAAATGAAACTAAGAGCCTAGAGGGTCTTTTGAGATGGAACAGCAGACACAACCTTGACTCGTGTGAGACGAGGCAAAGAATCAGTAGGGGGTTTTGCATGAAGAAGAGGGCGGATTGTGAACCGTATGCTTAAAGCTTACGGGCTAGTGTTAGAGCATCGCGTTAGTACCGGTCTCCCTGAGTCTATTGCTTTGAATCGAGTTGCATCGGACAAACTCTCCTAGACGATTATCCTTTGCGTCTCTCAGCGTTTCTGTGTCGCCTCCTCATTTGACTTCCAAAATCCTCTCCAACTGCACTGACAGTCGGGGAGCATGTGACATAGAGAACCAGCGCGTGCTCTAAGGGCTACTAGGGGAAGTGATTGGGTAGCCAACTCTGTAACACGATGAGCTACGGTTAGGATCGTATACAGAGGAGCGATCTGCCCGGTTCAGAATGCACTCACGAGAGCATTCACACAGAGATACGCCTGAAACTCAGTCCCGATTGAATGCCGTTAGTATGGTGCTGCGACTGGGGTGGTGAATACCTAACTACTGTCTATGTGGTGAAAAGCAAAATAGAAGTGCAAAGCGGTTGCTCCACCAGACTTCACCGGCCGCCGTAACCGCTGAATTCGGGCCTGGCGGGCACGCATTTATTCACAACAAATGTACGTGTATCCTAACAACTGTAGGCTTGGATACAGATTTGGCGGCAATTCAGGTTGAGGCACAATGGATTCGAGTGCTACAGTTTTAATGCGACACCTGTGTGTAATTATAAGGGTGATATATTAAAAAAGTACGTACCGTGGATCCTTAGAAAGCAGCGCAAAACTTTACTATAGATATAGTTTGGTGTATAGAGGCCTATGCTCCAAGGTACACTGAGATCGCGACGTGTTCTATAATTTTGATCACCTAATGCTGTGAAGCGTTCAACTAACTAAACAATAGAAGTCGTTCGTTTTGAAATTCGGTCATATCTGTTATATTATATTGTAAGGCAGTGTATACTGTTTGCCCATTGTTTTGATTCATCAAGATTTCAGACCGGCTAAGTACGAAGCTATTGCACATAGCCGAATTATTTACGTTATGGTATCCATTTAGTTCCGTTAAAGTTGATATTACTTGAATGGTATACTAAATTCTATGACCTTTCCTATTATGAGATTTTGTTGATTTTGCTGACGCAGGACAGCAATGTAACTTTATGTTTCAGTGCGCCGGCGATATTTTGATGATTCCTTTACGACGATCAATGCTTCATAAAGTACTTCGTCGTTCATTTTGATCGTCCTGTTTATCCTGCTCATAGCTCTTCCTGTGCAAGGTCACACGAGACGACGAAGTAGTATAGTATAGTATACGCGTAGATCGTATGCTTCTTGTAGCATTTCCTTGTAGTTACGAATGAGCGACTGTATACTAGGTAGTTAGTCTAAAACAACGAGGACGAAT